TCCCTTCTACCTCACTACTCCTTTCTTTACAAAATAAAATGAGGCACTCTTCACTTGCTTCAGCCATATAAATTAGTCACAGCATTTGGAGACACTTTGCCACACTGCACTACAAACCCAGACCCTATGCTATTTTGAGATCAAAATGAGTCTCCTTCCTTACATTAGTGACAAATGCAACACAATGTACCAAGGTTTCCCTAGATTTAGCTGTTCCCAGATCTCTCCCCTATTAGTAGGATGAAACTTAAAACCTAAGACACTCTCTTCTGAGTGCCACATATTTTTTGTTCCTACTTATGAGAAGTTACCTGCTTCAATAAGACATTATAGGCAAGGTGAGCACGGCTGTGTGCACATAGACACATGAGCAGTGGAAAAGAGGGCAGGAGAAAGGGTGGATTAATCAACTAATTATCCAGTCCTCATGATACAAGAATCTAACTTTTCCCTTTAGCAACGCTAAGTATTCTGTCTTTACTTTGAGTGGGAGCCAGTGAGCATGAGACACAGATGTTTTGAGGTTAAGTTTCCAGGTAGTTATAACTTTCTTTCAAAAGGAAGAATAAAAGAGGATAAATCTTAATGTCAAGTACACTCACGCAAAACGGCAACCATTTAACAGCAACAGTGCTTTATTTAGCACTGAAGGTCATGACAAGAACTGAGGTCAAAAGCTAAGGCAGACAAATTCTAATCTGAAATACAGAACAAATATTTAGCAGCAAGGTAGCTAAAGCCTGATAGCACTGTCAAGACAAACCAGGAACTTTTATTTCTTGATGTCTTCAAACAAAAGTGAATGCCTTTCTAAAAGACATGATTCAGTGTAAAAAGTTATCACATATCTGAAGGAAACATGCATGATATATGGGAGGTCAGTCTGGATGAACAGCTGATTCCACCCATCTTTAAACCCTATGACACTGAAAATAAATCATTACTCAAAAGCAAGTCCTAGCTCACTAGTATTATTTGCCTCTGAGCTCTTTCAGTGAAGAGCAGTGTTAATCAGTTTGGTTAAAGCATTTAGCGAAAAGACTCTCCAGCTGGCAATCAGGCACCATGTTCCCTGTCCTCTTTTGCAGCGCCATCCTCTTGGTAACAGAGGGCATTTACTTAGGTGAGATGGAATGAGACTTACATCCACAAACAGCCCAGCTATCAGCTGCTAATAGCTAGGCTCTGTTGCTTGCTATTTATATCCTAGAATGCTGCTACTTCTAAAGTTAGACTTGGACGATGCTTAAAACCGACGTCAGTTTATTCAGCCTATCTTCTTTTTTTGCATATGTGCTTGCATGGCTAAGTGGCATCTTCAAATTCAGCTGCCCTAACCCAGTATGTGTGACATTCAGCATCAATGAAACTACAAGGGGAGAACAGACCATAATCTGTTCTGACTGATATGCCAGAAACAGAACTACCAGCTAGTGATTTCCAATCCAGACCATAAATTATATCACTGCCAATGAGAAAAATAATCTTGTGACTTGCACCCTTAAACAGTCAGGTCTGGAGCTTTTTGTTGTTATTCTTCTTTTTAACAGTATCATCTCATTTATTTTACCTAGCGTATTGAATTAGGGAAGCAACAGCAAGTCCTTAAACAGAACACACAAGCAGACAGCAAAACTTCCAATATTTTGAAGTGCTTAGGTCCAGGCTCCTGCCTTCCTGTTTATGATCTCTATAAAACAGATTTTGCGTTCTCAATTCAGGTTCATACAGAGTCACACTGTACAGCATGCAGTACATTACATGACATCGTATTGCAATATAAAGGCAATTAAGGCTTTTTTTTTTGGTTTGCACTCCACCCCCTCCATAGCACAGTGCATACTGAAGCTATGAAAGCAGGATAATGAAGGCTGACTTCCCCTGGTAAATCTCCGACTAGCCAATCTTGCTTTCCAACCATCAAATTTTGTTTCTCTAGTCTGCAAATGGAAATAAAAGAATGAGTGAATAAATGGATTCTTTTCATCCCTAAACACTTCAAGTTTATAAAAGCAAAGAAGTTTTCTCTGTGGCACCCTTGGGCAACCTGGAGCAATCCTCTGACAATAAAAGAGAAGCAGTTCTGCCTTCACGAGGGTCTCCTCCAAACACCGTTCTTGCACTGAGGCCATGAGATGCAAAGATACCAGGGAAACAGAGAAGCGATTTACATTGACAAAGAGGATTTTGATACACTCCTCCAAATGGGGCAGCATTACCATCTTAATAGCCTTTTGCTCTCAGCCTTCTTCCTGAGGACGCTGGAGATTTTTGCAAATGGAGAACAGTTCCGCTTCCCATTTTAACTGCAACAATAGCAGAAGGGCTCCTTAAACTGCATCAAATAGCAGCCTGTGAAATCCCTAACTAGCTGCACTGCCTCTCCTGCCGTTTTATTATCCTCCAGCCCACAGAACAAAAAGGGGGGGGGGGGGGGGGGTGCTCCTCCTCATTTTTAGCCTATTCCACACATCCTAATCCCTCAGAGGTGACAATGGAAATTGCTTATGGAACTGTTAAATCACACGTTCACTTTGTCTTTCATTCCCCATTCACCCTCTCTAATCGAGGAGTTTCCAGCCACATTTTCCGATATCAATTTGTTTATGGCCTATTGGCTAATGGTCCCAGGATGGGACCCCCTGAGTAAAAAGAAGGAATCCTGGGCACTTCAGCCAGCTGCTGTTTCTCACCAGTTCCCACACCCATCCACTTGTTCCCATCAGCCATCCTGAATGTGATCACCTCCTGACACCATCTGAATTCAACAACAAAGCCTGAATGGGAAAGCTGCCTTTGCAATCAGTCTACGGGACAGATTCCACTTGTTAGTGCTATACGATGTCCCTTGAGCAGCAACGCAGGGACACTCCCTCACCGGCTGACCCATGGCCAGTTGACTTATTGATATCTTGCCTTGTGTCCAGCTTCCCTTTGGAAAAAAGCACCAGCTACAACTCTCATAAAAAACCTAGCCACCCTTGCACGAAGCAGCCTTGTGCCTCTTTCTCTGTCTTATCCGAACCAGCCATTTCCAGGTGATTTGCTCACTTACTCTTTCCATTAATGATCATTGAAATGTGGGATGAGAACATGCAATATTTACTTTGAACAACTCAGATGGCTTGTGTGTAAGTGCTTGCAAGTCTCTGTAAAATAGCCTGGGACACACTATCAGGGGAACCATGCCCGTCCTTAATACCCATCATGGAGAAAAATATCTAAACTGGAAACATAACGGCGTAGAAAAGAAGAGCTTCAAGCTGCCTTCCAAAATGTACAAAGAATGCTTGATATAGAGACAGCATTTACTCTGAGATATACAAAACGGTATCTCCCCTGATTTTAGAAAAACAGTGAAAGATGGTTTAAATGTGCAGCCCAGAAACATGGATACCAGGAAGAGAGCAATTCCCATACTCCTAATACAATGCTATCCCTTCTATCAGAGTCCTGCTTCACCATCATTACATGTTACCAGGCCCATTTGTTCGTTAAAGGCAAGGTTCAGTCCTTGGAAAGCTATAGTCCTGTCTCACAGAAAAGAACTGAAACAAAGATCCTCTCTGAAAAAAATGCTTCCCATTTCTGAAACTGGAAATTTTTCTTTCCCAAAGTTTCACTTACATCAGTGCCTGAGGACAGAGCAGGAAACTGTCTGACTTTTTATTAATGACGAGAAACATCTCTGCAACATAGAAAATATTCAACATTGAAAAGTAGCTTGTCTTCTGCCCTATACTGAACCAAAATATGTCTAGACCAACTCTAGCAAGCCATCTCAGTTTAAACTAATAAAAATTGTTTGTAGTTCCTGTAGCCTTTTTAAAATTACTGCTAACAAATAAACCAGATCAAATTTCCAAAATGCCATCTAAGAATACACTGGGTATAGTACTTAAATTCTTAGGAAACACCAGATGGACACCCCTACCCCCCTATTATCATTATGTAGGTGTATCAAATGGAAGCAAAAACACAGCATAAAAATATTTTTGATTCTTCTGTTTTTCTGATGTTATGTATCACCAGAGATGTAAGTGTATTTAGTCACTAGTAAAAGTAAACAAGTTGCTGGTCTGGTACAGCCTGTTTGAAGGTGAGAAATGGGCAATCAGAAGGAACTGTCTGCATACCTTAAAATGTTCAAGGTGCTTTATGAGATCAGTGACCTCAGAAACAGCGATACTCACTTTTTTTTAAACGCCATGGCTGCATATCAGAGCATATCCTCTGAACAAAAAGTGACAGGTGCTGACTAGTTTTATTTAGTCTGCTGAACTGATGCAGCAATCAGGAGTCAGGCTGCATATCAACAGACAGCAACTAAACAAAATTATCTATGAATGTCTATCAAAAAGTAGGGGCATTAAAGGGAGACTTACTGGAATAAATGGGTTTAAAAGGGGAAGGGCTGAACTTCCCTTTTGCTGTGGTCTAAAAGTACATGGATTAGGACATGGCCACATGGAACCCCAGTTCCCTGACATCATGGCAGTAATATACAGCTTTTCAGTACACTACCTCATATCCCAGAGAATCTGGGCCATGGGGCATTAGCATTAAAATGCTAATCACAAAAATAGAGAACAGATATTAATTTCCTGTATTTTTACTGATGTCAAGCCATTCACTAAAGAATAACCATTTACTAGAGCAGGTTATTAATGGTAGATAGGTATGTTTCTCCTGGAGAAATCTATCCAATGGCAACATTGTCAGAACCATTCTACTTTACCTTGCAGGAAAACAGGGAGCCTTGATTAATAATTTCAGGGCCCATTCTTAGATCCACTGGAATACGCAACAACTGATTTAGTATAATCCAAGACAAAACAGTGAGTGTATCAGAGGGCTGCCCTTGTTAGCCAGACTGTTAAATGTGGGAGTTTTTAATCAGGTATAAACAGCTCCATTTTCAGCCATAGATGCTGTTACCTACATTCAGCCTGCTTAAAATACTAACTGAAAAGGCAAAACAATCAATGCTCTGGTCTTACCTTGAAGAACCAAGCCTGATTTCTCAATAGTGTAGAAAAAGGCAGAGAATGGAGCAACAGGGGATTTAGCAACCAGGAGCTGCAAACCAAACAAGTAATATGTAAGTACATGTCTTTATAACATACTGATCAGAGCTCAAATCTGTTGAATAATCTCACTGGATTTAACTTCTCTAAGTAGTAAGGCATATTGCAGAAACAACAAGGTAGTCATTGATCTAGCCCTGTCACTTCTAAGTAGAGGTCTTCTTACATGTATGTACAGCCCATGATGCGATTTTAAAAGGATTCACAGGTCCTAGAAAACCACTATCAAAAAGAGCAGTGCATTTTGCCTTACTGGCATCCTGTTAAGCTTAATCATTCCTGCTGGTTCAAGTAGTTGTACTCAGACACAAATTTGAGCAAAACTGCAACTGCCATTGGGAAACACAATTTTAATTGTCCTTAGCTGTTCTACTGATGTGCCCCTTGCCTTCTCCATGAACTCCACCTGGAACTGAAGAACAAGAACTCCTCCTGCCCCTGGAAGCAGCATGGACCACCTGTGGGTCATCACACCAGGGACGGCAAGTATCTGGATGTTCTCTTTCGCAAAAGGGGTAATGACCAAGTCAAACTTTATTCAAGGATCTTAACCTTTGAGTATCAAAACAGGAACTGGAATTCCCTTGGGGTGTATAGCACAATTGAATTTAGCTCAGCTTTTGTGTGTGCTGGCCCTCTATGGTCAGGCCAGAAACATCCCAAGCTCTCTGGAGAGAAACTATGGAGTGTGAAAGATGAGGTGCAGCAGAGCTCTGGAGTCAAAGAAATGGGTTTGCTGGCAGGGCAATGGCGATGTGGAACTTGCAGTGGCAAACGCACACAAACGTGCTAGGCTTTATTGCTTGGCTGTTTGATTTTTGCTCATTGCCGAGCACTGCTCCTCACAGTTTGCCTAACATACCCCCCATTCTGTCACCTACATGAAAGTCACATTTTAATGAAAAATTTAATAAGCTCTGCCCACAGCGTGATCAGCATAAACACTGACCTAATAGTCCCCATGTGGGCCTGCAGAAGACATGGGCAGCAGTGGCTGAAGCAGAGAGCATGCTGCTGCTCTGCCTCTGGTACAGAGCTGCTCATGAAAGCTGAAACACATTTCTCTGCTCGCCTTTTCAACAGATAGAAGAAAAGGCCAGGAACTGGAAACCAGTGCTCCCAGCCATGGCTGCGCACCCTGGAAAAGCCTTCCCACCCTCCTGGCCCCTGAGGACATGGTTTGAGCAGGCTGCTCCTCCTCAGCCCATGCTGATCCTGGGATCAGCAGGGATCTGCTCCGAGCAGAGCAGTATTGCAGAGCCCAAGCCATGACTGCTTGGGGCTCAGAGCGTGCCTGACGACTTCTTTTCCTTCAGTGCACTGGTTTCATGTAACCCATCCATGAGACCTGCCCAGTTGCGATTTGTGGAACCTTCACACTCCTCAGGGCCTACATTTCTAAAGCCCTGTCATATACTACACCCTCCCAGCCCAAGAGAGGCAGCCGTCTCTCAGATACATCCAAGTACAGACTTCTTAGAACTACAGACAGGAACAATCTTATTTTTAGAGGTGTGGGGCACAACAGGTCCTGCTGATTTCAAATTGAGTAACCCTTTCCCCCCCCAGTTATTTCCAAAGGTCATGCCCTAATTCTGCCAAGCATTCAAGCACTTGTAAGGGTCACTGCGTACGAATTTCGGTTGGTGGTGCCTAATGATCAGCAGGGAAACAGTGAACAGGTTTTACAAAAGCCAAGAGAGATTACATAAAAGCAAGGAAGTTCATGCTCACCAAAACTGCTCACATTTCACTGGAAAGTCAGCCAGTATTGAACCACTTCACAGACATACAGGACTAGGCCATTTATTCGTAAGATTAACAATATCAAGCACCAGAGGTTTGAGCTCTGCAGAGTCCTTATGTAAGCACGGGATTTGGTAGCAAATTCTGCAGCAGAATCAAGGCTTGTGTGACTGTTCTGTAGCACTTTAAATGCAAAGGTTATCTATATAGTAGGTTGGTTTCATTTGTATGTAGTCTGCAGACATGAGTATGCTTAGACATCTTGCAACTTTTTCTCATCTGATTCTGACAGAGGCTGAAGAAATGAAATCCTCAAATATCTGGTTCTTCAAATCTAACCATTACTACCCACAGCTAGCAAACGCTTCTATGGTTTTCAGAGTTCAAACCAAACATAGCCTCCCTTCTTCAGGAAGTAAAAAAGGCAGGCACATAAAAACCACAGCACAGCCAGAGAACATCAGACCAGTCCAAATGTCAGTGTTTTCCTTTCAGTCATATGAGGCTGGCAAAACCACCTCAGGATGCAATACAACCTTTGTGATGTACTCCAAGTAGGAAAACTGCTGCGGTAGCACTTTCCCCTCTTCCGCGTTTATTACCGTTCTCTCTGGAATGAACTTCTGGAGGAAGGAGGGGCATGTCACATCCCACATCCCTGGCGCACCTTGACAAAACCCAAATTTCCCTCCCCGCCATTATCTCCAGGGCCAGCACTGATGCCACGGGAGGGGACTCTGCCAGGAGGACAGCAGAGTTCTTCCTGGTACTTCACACACCCCTCAGTATTGAGAACATGAGGGAGAGGATGGGGGGGAAAACCTGTGCGAATGCTCAGCTACAGGGTCTCTCGCAGCAGCTGGATGTTTAATCAGAAAGGCCCGAAGTGAAACGGTTACAAATCTCATGCTAAGGTCAAGCTTTTGGCATTCTGTGCTGGTCTATACACATAAATACTAACCTATACATGCACGTGCACTAGGCACGGTTGTATGTGCAAACGGACAGACATTCAAATAACCCTATGTACGTTCTGTTACTGCATTTTTATGCAGTTACAGTGTGTGTATAACTAAGTTATAGCCATGAAAAAATATAATAAATCACATCCTTTCAGCAGCACATCACTGGGCCCCTCTGAAGGGCTGCTGCTTCTTCTGAGTTACATCTCAGGCTCAGAATTAGCGTCCTTCCTAGTGAAACGAGAACAACTCAGAACATTCAAAGGTATTGCTTTATTTTGAATGTTTGCTTACTGAGAAAAATAACCTTTAAAGTTGTGAATGCTCCAACCCTGGCAGTGTTCAAGGCCAGGTTGGACAGAGCCTTGGGTGACATGATTTAGTGTGAGGTGTCCCTGCCCACGGCAGGGGGGTTGGAACTAGATGATCTTAAGGTCCTTTCCAATCCTATTCTATGATTCTATGATTGCATATTTCACAACCAGATAGAGTATATAGGATTCTTTCTTATAACACCAATCTCTGCCTTAACCTAACTGAAAAAAAGTAAATACATGCTTAGATTTGTATTTCAACCAAAGAGAAAAAAAAAAACAACAAAGGTAATAGGTCATTGCAAACCATCCTCTGGTTAGAATAGCCAGCACAGAGTAGTCTTATGTATACAGAAAGAGATTATTTAACACAGATGGAAATACATTAAAAAAAATAAATTATGTCTTGGAGCCCAAAAAGTGGAAGTATAAATAAAAAAAAATAATCAAGGTAATGTTGACCCTGCAAAGATTATTAACAGTACCAAAAATGAAAAAAAAATTGGAGGTATAATGAAAAGATATTGGCATAGTGATAATAGTGATAATTATATTCTAGATATGAGTGAAGAAATAATCAGTTTTCTACAAGCAGGACAATGCTGAAAAAGAGTAAAAGACATAATGGGCATTACCTGTATCATGTAGATATAGAAATAATAACTGAGTGGAAAGAAAACCCCTGGAGTTTAGTGCATTCAGCAGAACATAGATAATCTCTATAGAAAAAATACTGTAAGAATCAGCATGTGAATTTAGGTCTGATAAGTAGCATTTGTCATACATCTATGAAATTGAAGCTGATGCAACATAACCGAGAAGCAACAAACAGTCCTCAGAGGGAAGATTAAAAATATAAGTAAACTGGTAAACTGAGGCCTGTAATGTTATTTCACTATCATGCAGAAATTTTGAAAGGAAGAGTAAGTAAAGACTTGGAAAATAGGATAAAACAAAACATGGATGTCATTCCAGACATACCTGACATCCTCCTTTGAGCTTTTTAGGAATCTGAAATAAATTAGGCCTTATCTATTTGGATCTCTGTAAAGCTTTTAACACTGCTAAATGGGAACTGATAATGAAGAAAGCAAGGATAAGCACAGAAGCTGTGAGGCAAAAGGGGAAACAGTTATTGAAAAGAAAACCCTTTCCAGTTATATTAGTACCTCACAAGATCACTGACCCATAAGGTGATGTAACCAGGACAACAGCAGCTCCAATGATACAGTACAGCACCATATACACCTAGCAAACCCAGGGATACCTTGGTGTTTCTTTACAAGCCATTATCAAGGTTTAATCTGGAATACCATGTACAGTACAGACCACCCATGAACTCGAGCTGCAAGAGATGGGCTATATGCTGGTGAGGACAGTGGAACACTCATCTGAGAGGCCACTGGAAAAAATTAATTCAGTGAATCTCGCATTAATGAAGGCTGACTGCTATGTGTGTAAGTGAATGGGGAGAGAGGAAACGAGAACGGAGCAGGAAGAAAGAGAAGAGCTTCTGAAACTGACAATCCTGGCACAAGAACGAATGTGCAGCCATGAAGACATTTTGGCTGAAGATTTTAAAGTTTATAACCATTAGCAAAGTTTGATTCTGGAAGAGCCTTCAACTGGAAGAAGCAAGTCTATAAAAAAAAAATCTTTGTTTTTAGGATTCAGATTAAAATTTTATGAAGGATACAAAGCAGTGCCTGGGATGCACTCCATGACCTATGAAGTCTCTTCAAGTCCTATGGGCATCTTGAGAGGCACTGAAGCCCTGCCAACTCATTTTTTATGCTGATAGAACTGACAGAGTTGGAACAATACATTCTAACAATGTCCCTTGATGTTTCACATGCAAGTAAGGATCTTTGTGGTCAATAAACCAAGAAAAAGTTGCTCATTTTCAAATGCAGAATTTATAATTTAAAGTCTTTTCATATATATCTTCTGGTGAACATCTGCTCCTCTCC